AATAATACTATACATATAGTTTAGTGGCTTGTCTTTTTTAAACTTAATCAATTTATTGTCTCCAATAGATATCGCTTTATTTCATATTTCTTCACATCTCTGTATTCTGATGCTCATTAACCTCTCTTTTAGGAAAAGACTCAAGAACAGCATGAAGAAATAGACGAAGGTAATAAAAATATGGCCCGATTTTTCAAAGAAAAGCTCAATAATGAAATAGCTGCAAATAGAAGAGAATCAAAGGGCAGCAACAGTGTCCAAGAAACGGATGATGATAATGAAGATGATGAAGAGGAAGATGGTGAAGACAGTGATGAAAACACAAAAGGAGAGGAGGAAGATGGAGCAAAGGAACAAATCAGAAATTATAACAGCAATTGTCAGCAAGTAACTCATAAAGCACTCGACGAGCAGAGAGACAGACCAGAGGCCCAGGAAAAAAGTGAGAAAAAAATATCAAAATTAGATCCCAAGAAGTTAGCTTTAGATACCAGTTTTTTGAAAGTAAGTGCAAGGCCTTCTGGAAACCAAACAAATCTAGATGGGAGCTTGAGGAGAGTTCGACAAAATGATCCTGATATGAAGGAACTTAACCTGAACAACATTGAAAACATCCCCAAAGAAATGCTACTCGATTTTGTCAATGCAATGAAGAAAAACAAACACATCAAAACGTTCAGCTTAGCAAATGTAGGTGCAGATGAGAGTATCGCCTTTGCTTTGGCTAACATGTTGCGTGAAAATAGGAGCATCACCACTCTCAACATTGAATCCAATTTCATCACAGGTAAAGGAATTGTGGCCATCATGAGGTGTCTCCAGTTTAATGAGACCCTCACTGAACTTCGGTTTCACAATCAGAGGCACATGTTGGGGCACCATGCTGAAATGGAAATAGCCAGGCTTTTGAAGGCAAATACCACTCTCCTGAAGATGGGCTACCATTTTGAACTCCCCGGTCCCAGAATGGTGGTCACTAATCTGCTCACCAGGAATCAGGATAAACAAAGGCAGAAGAGACAAGAAGAACAAAAACAGCAGCAACTCAAAGAGCAGAGAAAGCTGATAGCCATGTTGGAGAATGGGTTGGGGCTGCCTCCTGGGATGTGGGAGATGTTAGGAGGACCCATGCCAGATTCCAGCATGCAGGAGTTTTTCCAGCCGCCTCCTCGGCCTCCCAACCCTCAAGCTGTCCCCTGTAGTCACCACAATGAAATGATGAAAAAGCCATTGCAGCCCCCACAGTGCAGGACAGACCCTGACTCCTTCCGGGTGGTGAAGCTGAAGAGAATCCAGCGCAAATCTCGGATGCCTGAAGTCAGAGAATCCCCCGAGAAAACCAACCTCAAAGATGTAATCAAAACACTCAAACCAGTGCCGAGAAATAGGCCACCCCCATTGGTGGAAATCACTCCCAGAGATCAACTCTTGAACGACATTCGTCACAGCAATGTCGCCTATCTGAAACCTGTAAGTAGAAGGAGGGAGAAATGGTGAATGGGCATCATACACAGTCAGTGTATCCCAACTCTATTCTGTTTCACACAAGGGAGTATTCATTAAGTATGACCAACTGGGGGAAGCCAGGGAGCATTACCGATACCTACATGTATGCCGACATATAGTATACCTACATATAGGTGAACCTATATGACTTCTGGAATGATACTACTACTATTTTTTTTCTTTTTGAGTTGGAGTCTCACTCCATCACCCAGGCTGGAGTGCAGTGGCATGCCCACGGCCACTCCAGCGTTAACCTGCTGGGCTCCATCGATCCTTCCACCTCAGCCTTCCAAGTAGCTGGAACTACAGTTGCCACTACCACACCTGGCTAATTTTTTGATATATTGTAGAGATGAAGTCTTGCCAAGTTGCCCAGGCTGTTTTTGAACCCGTGGGCTCAGGTAATCCCCTCACTTCGGCCTCTCAAAGTGCTAGGATTATAGGATTGAGCCACCACGCCCAGCTGGAATGATACTATTAACATTTATTGAGCACTTTTATTGAGCACTTACTATAGGCCAGAGCACTTACATTTATTGAGCACTTACTATAGGCCAGAGTTGTTATATGAACTAATCCATGTAATTCTCTTAACAACCCTATGAGGTAGGTATTATTATTCTACTCATTTTGTAAAAATGAAACTGAGGCTTAGAGAAGTTAATAATATATCTGGGAGGTACAGCTATGAAGCAGTAGAACTGACATTGAAACACAGCTCTGCGTCCAGGGGTCAAGTTTTCATTCACCCCACTCTTCAGACCCCTCAAGTGCATACTCAAAAGGGCACCCTTGCAGCCACGTGGCTCTGACACTCAGAGACCCCCAGGAACCTGTGCAGAATAAATAAAAATATAATGAGAATGAATAAGATAATCATATGCTTCCCAAATGCTTAGAAACAGTTAGTTTTTTCTTAGTAGATGAAGAGCATTTGCATTTACCCTAATCACTTTTTGGGTGGGCACACAAATGATGAACTTCAGGTTAGCAACTCTGTGAATTAAGGGAGTTCTAAAATATTCTACTACTGTTTCAGTGTTAATATTTACTGCAATTCACTATTACTGCTATGTGGAAAAGTCTGTTCCTTGCAGCTCAAGTTGCAGAAATAATTTTTTTTGAGTCATTTTTATGGCATTACTGGAGGTTGAAAGATGTGTGTTCAATGGCCGCAGAGGATTGATAATTAACTGTATTATTTTATTTATTTATTTATTTATTTTTGAGTTGGAGTCTCACCCAGACTGGAGTGCAGTGGCCGCTCCCAGTCACCGCAGCTTCGACCTGCTGGGCTCCGGCGATCCTTCTGCCTCAGCCTTCCAAGTAGCTGGAACTACAGGCGTGCACTACCACGCCCGGCTAATTTTTTGATTTATTGTAGAGATGAGGTCTTGCCAAGTTGCCCAGGCGGGTCTCGAACCCGCGGGCTCAGACAATTCACTCACCTCGGCCTCCCAAGGCATGGGATTACAGGCTGAGCCATTGAGCCTGGCCGGCTAACTGTATTATTTTAAAATCTTGTGTGCAATTTAGCTAAGAGGTTACATTGACAGAATAGTCAATATATTATTTCATCACATAGACCACCCATGCAAGCTTGTTATTTTTCTGCTTTAAGGAGCTTTATACTCTAAAATGTGATAATTGTAACTTACTCACATACATATGTGAGTTCCTCGTTCCCAACTCCTAGTGAGGCAGAATTATCAATATTCCATTCTAAATGAAAAATGCCTTTCACCCGTGATTTAGAAGGCCTCTGATTCTTCCTGGAGTAGGAGCTGGGATGAGAGCTCTAGAGGTCACATGAGGTCAGGCAAGGGTTCTTTGCCTGCCCTTGGGCCCAACATCAAGACTTTCTGCGACTGCTCTTCTTCAGGCAACTGGGTCTCCACTGGGGTGTTGTTTGAGAGACGCTAGCTCTATCACTTTTTCAGTAACCAGTCACTGGCAAAAAATATCCAAGCTGCCTTGGTGGCTGTACAGTCAGAAAAATAATGATCTGAAAAGAATAAGGAGAAGTCTTTTAAAAAACCTATGTTAAAGGTGGCAATATGGATTCAGAGCAGAAGAGGGAATGAAGTTTAAATGATCATCTGAACCAACACCCTGACTTCTGAGAGAAAGTTCTACTGAACAAATTCACTTTCTCTGGGCCTGTTCCATCTCATCCATTCACTTACTCATTAATGTAACAAATACATATGTCAGGCACCCTGAGAATGGTTGGGGATACAGCAGTGAATAAGTCAGCCTTGACCTCACTCAGAGCTTACAATGTATTTTATAATTTTTCAAGGTCAAGATCCTTTGCCTTTTACTCAACTGAGAACACTTTGGCTTTGGGTCTAGAACCTAGAGCAAAAGACATTAAATTCGTGGTGATAACTGCAAGAATACAACATCCTACCAATCACTGCATTTTTCATATTTTAACCAAGTCAAAATGCTATCAATTTTAAGTGTGTTTGGTGGTGGTGGTGGTAGTTTTTAAAAAAATAACCTAAGAAAGAAAAACATGGTGCAAAGTAACCCTGACATGCTTTTTTGAATGATAAATTTGCATATCACCCTCTGCTTCAAAATGGCTTTCATCTATTCAGAGAGATTGGCAGTTTCTCCTGTCGTCAATTGCCTGGCTTGGCCTGCGATAGGCATCTTTTTTGCATGTATCTCAGTTACAAAATGTCACACGGCTTCATCTATTTGGTCCTGGAAAATGCTCAGCAAGAAAAATGTGAAAATGCACTGTTCCACTGATGAAAATTTGCTTCACTAATATCAATTTGCTTCCTGCTGCTGTTTCTGTGCCTTTCTGCAGACACAATAAATTTCTGCTTAAAGCCAAATCGTAGTGTAATCTTTTAAAGACATTTAAATTATTTTATCTTTTTTATTTTGAAATCATTTTAGACTTACAGAAGTTCAAAAGGAGTATGAAGAATGTTTACATAACCATTACATTTTACCACATTTGCTTTATCTTTCCTTAAAAGCTATTTTGAGTGGCAATACGTCTGCATGTGTATAGTACCAACAGGGCATGTTACCGAACAGAGGTAATAATAGTATAAATAGCTATGATGTGTTTGTGCTTGCTTGTGCCTGCAACCAGCTATTGTAAAACACCATCGATTTTATGATGCATCTAATTTCAGAGCTGTTGAAATGTCACACAGCACGTATCTTAGACTCAATGAAACACTGCAAACTCCATGAGTAGTGATATTACAAAATCTCAGTAGAAAGAGGTATTTTTGGCCAATCAAATGAGATAAGACAATGCTTACTTTATACACTAAATGAAGGACTTTTGGGGTTTGGAACAGAGATGCCCTCCAAACCCCTGGATTTTCAAGAATAAGATTACAATTAGAACACAATTTCAAAATCTTGTGATTTTGTTCTTTTACTGTTATTTCTAACTAGAACACTCACTATTCAAAAACAGAAATTATTTATTCTGAGAAAACAAATAAGGATTTTCCTCTTATAGATTTGAAAGTATTATTTTTGTATTTGCTAGAGCACATTTCAATAATTAGTTTGTGTTTTTAGATTATTTCTTTTTTCAAAATTTTATTTTAAGCCGGGCGCAGTGGCTCATGCCTGTAATCCTAGCACTTTAGGAGGTGGAGGCGAGAGGACTGCCAGAGCCCAGGGGTTATAGACCAGCCTGGGCAACTTGGTGAGACCTTGTCTCTACAATAAAAAAAAAAAAAAAAATTAGCCCGGTGTGGTGGTACATGGCTGTGGTTCCAGTACTTGGAAGGCTGAAGTGGAAGGACCACCTAAGCTCAGCAGGTCAAGGCTGCAGTGGCTGTGAATGAGCTACTGCACTCCAGCCTAAGTGACAGAGTGACTTCTACTCAGAAAAACAAAAACAAAATTATTTTAATGCTTATTTTCTCCTCACCCCATGATTCTAGCCTGGGATACCTGAAACAAAGTTACCTGCAAAAATAAAAATAAATAAAGAAAAATCTACATACTTGCTTAGCTCAAATTCTACCTTTTCCAAGAAACTACCCATTCAATTCAGTTTAAGAGAAATGTACTCTTTGAGCCAGGTACTGAAAGCTGGTGGATGGCCAGGCATAGTGGCTCACACCTGTACTCCCAGCACTTTGAGAGACTGAGGTGAGAGGATTGAGCCCAAGAGTTCCAGATAAGCCTGGACAACATAGTGAGACCTCATGTCTAATTAAATAAAAAAAAGCTAATGAACTACAGACCAAACCTGTAGGCCTGCTTTATTTGGTTCAGGTGTTAATGTATAATGGTTTTTCTTTTTTTCTATTTGAGATCGGGTCTCACTCTGTGACCCAGGCTGGAATGCGGTGGCACAATTACAGCTCACTGTAGTCTCAACCTCCTGGGCTCAGGCAATCCTCCCACCTCAGTCTCCCAAGTAGCTGGGACTACGGTGTAGACCACCACACTCGGCTAATTTTTGTATTTTTTTCTGTAGAGAGAAGGTCTCACTATGTTGCCCAGGCTGTTCTCAAACTCCTGGGCTCATGCAATTCTCTTGCCTCAGCTTCCCAACGTGCTGGTATTACAGGTATAAGCCTCCACGCCCAACCTTGTATAAGTTTTTAAATGTCATATTTAAAAATTCCAGATATCTGGTACCACTTGAAATATCAGACCTGGCCACAGTGAATTTGCATGGCAGAAATTAGCTGTTTCTGTGTATTGGCTTCTCCCCTGAGATAGAAAATGGACTCTCCAGTTTTCTCTTTTGCCCTACTGCCTGAAATCTGGCATGCTATGTAATTTACATTACTTATTTGGCTCCTATAGAATTTTTTAGTTTGCTTTTGCTGTTTTTAGCCTTTTTGGGGTTTTTTTTTTTTTTTTAGTTGGAGTCTTACTCTATTGCCCAGGCTGGAGTGCAATGGCATCATCATGGCTACTGCAGCCTTGACCTGCTGTACTCAGACAATCCTTCTGCCTCAGCCGTCCAAGTAGTTGGAACCACAGGTGTACGCCACCATGCCTAGTTAATTTTTTGATTTATTGTAGAGACGAGGTCTTGCAAAGTTGCTCAGGCTCGTCTTGAATCCCTGGGCTCAGGCAATCCTCTCACTTCGGCCTCCCAAAGTGCTAGGATTACAGGTGTGAGTCACCGCACCTGGCCTAGCTATGTTTTTAAAATTGTTGTCTTAACAAACTGAACTTGTTAGATAATGACTAAATCATTTCCCTATAAGTTAATAACTCCGAGTCAATACTATGACAGCACTAAGACATTAGGCTTGTACAGGCTTGTCCCTCTCTGACAAATGTCTGATTTTCTTTCATCTTCAAAAATGTTGTGGTCTGCTCACTCCTACCATCCCAGATGAGTATCTGCATTTTCCCCTGAGACATCGTCTCATTTGCAGCAACTGTTTAATTCACTAAGGCCAACTGCATTTATATCATATCAAAGTATCTGTGCCAGTCAAACAAAATAACTATTTTCACATTCACTCAGCTTCACTCAGGGGCTCACTTTTGTATATCTAGACTTCTCCCATCCAGTTGGCTAAAGGCATTGTTAAATTTTGCTCCAAAAAGACCTTGGTTCACCAAAAGACTCCACTGATACATTAGTAGTTGTTAGGATTACAGAACTGAATAAGTCGATAGACTCTTAAACATTAGTCTTCCTCTCTGGACATTTCTTCTTTGGCTCATTTATAAGATCTTCCTTCTCTTTAGCCATGTTCTTGAGAATCTATCCTTTTGTCATTTTCTCCTCTTGCCCATCTTCTCTCGTCACATAATGTAGAACAATCCCCAAATCCCCATTTCCCTTTAGATCACCAAGGGTTGTCTTAGCATCTTCATTCAACCTATCTCCAAACCAAGCATTTCATTTTTATGCCAGTGGTTGTTTCTGGTTCCATCTCCCTTAATATTTCCATTCTATAATACATTCAGGTCTAAAACTGCAGAATTGTCTTCAACTCCTTCTCCTCTCCCTCCCTGACCCCCAGCCATTTCTTTTTTCTTTTGCCTCCGATAAAGTAACCAGGAGAATCTATAAGTCAAAGCCAAACATAGATCATAGTTTTGAAAATGTGATTTTTTTGGTGCGCTTTTTAAAAATTTAAGAGTTGTGGGATATATGTGGAAATTTGCTACATAAGCAAATCACATACAGGTGAGGTTTGGGCTTCTAGTGATCCCTTTCTCCCCCTGGAAATGTGATTCTTATAAAGGGAGTCTTCATAGGAAAAAAACAATGTAACATTTCAGGTTCATCTTACAAGAACATACATAGTCCAAGAATTATATAGGCCAGAAATTGCTTGCCTTTAATAACTAGTGAGAAAAAGAGTTTTAGACATATTTTTCTACTGATTCTCAAAACTTAATGTGCATCAAAGTCATCTAGAGGGTTAAAAATAGATTACTAAGCCCCCACCCCAGAGCGTCTGATTCAGTAGATCTCAAATGGGGCCTGAGAATGTGCATTTCTGACAAATTGCCTGATGATGCTGCTTATTCAGGGACACATTTTGACCACCACAACTCTGACATCCATGGCAAACCACATCTCCTGCTATTTTCCCTGAAGAGCTTTTCTTGCCTGCCTCCGTACCACTCTGTCTCAAATTACCTTTTCTTCTATATCTGTCTAAATCTATCCAATTTCCAAGGCCTGGCTCAAAGATTACTTCTTACACACCAAAAACCAAAGCATAAGCAGTACTCTTCCTACTCTTCTTCCATTACTCTCTATCCAAACCTTTTACAGCCCCTCCCACATTCTATCTCAGGCTGTGGGAGAGACCTGATGGACACAGTGTACTCTCCTGCTGGATTCCAAGTTTCTCAAGGCAGGTTTTCCCCTGTCCGGACACCCACTGTAGTGTTGGTCCTGAGCAGAAACTTAATACAGGTGTGCCAAATTAAATAACCCCTGCTGAAATGATCTTCCCATCCCACCCTGCCTCCCAGTCTCTGAGTGTATGCATATGTGTATCACACACACACACACACACACACACACACACACACACACCAGCATACACACTTTTTTGTTGTTGTTGTTGTTAGAGTCTTACCCTGTTGCTCAAGCTGGAGTGCAGTAGCACGATCAGGGCCACCACAGCCTCGACCTGCTGGGCTCAGGTGATCCTTCCACCTCAGCCTTCCAAGTAGCTGGAACCACTGGCGTGTGCCACCATGCCCAGTTAATTTTTTAGTGTACTGTGGAGAGAGAGATCTCGCTAAGTTGTCCGGGCTGGTCTAGAACCCCTGGGCTCTGACAATCCTCTCCCCTCCGCCTCCTAAAGTGCTGAGATCACAGGCATGAGCCTCTTCACCTGGCCTACTCTTTCTTAAAAAAATTTTTTTTAAACAAGTAAACTAAAAATAATACAAGTTGCTTCTCTCCTGTTAAGTTTTATATTAAAAAAAATTTTTTTTTTGCGTTGGCGTCTCACTCCGTTGCCCAGGCTGGAGTGCAGTGGCAAGCTCACTGCCACCCCAGCTTCGATCTGCTGGGCTCAGGCAATCCTTCTGCCTCAGCCTTCCAAGTAGCCAGAACTACAGGTGTGCGCTACCACACCCAGCTAATTTTTTGATTCATTGTAGAGATGAGGTCTCATCAAGTTGCCCAGGCTGTTCTCAAACCCGTGGGCACAGGCAATTCCTTCACCTCAGCCTCTAAAAGTGCTGGGATTACAGGCTTGAGCCACAGCACCTGGCCAAGTTTTATATTTTTATAACATCAAATCTAGCTGTTATTTTTCCTTTATGGCTTCTAGCTTTTGTGTTCTGCTTAAAAATGGTGTCTCTGGCTAGGTGTGGTGGCTCACCCCGTAATCCCAGTGCTTTGGAAGGCTGAGGCAAGAAGATCGCTTGAGCCCAGGAGTTAGAGACTGCAGTGAGCTATGATGGCACCGCTGCACTCTGGCCTGGTCAACAGAATGAGACTAGTTCTCAAAAAAAAGAAAGAAAAAAAAAGAAAAAAAGCTGAGCACACTTACAGCCACTGCACTTCAGTCTGGGCAACAGAGTGAGATTCCGACTCAAAAAAAAAAGGTTATTTGAAAATTGAAATATGTGCCTATCTTTTCTTACAAATGTTATAGGTTTTCATTTTTAAAGGGTTAAATTTTAAAAGTAAGTAGGAAGCAACAAGCCTATTGTTTCTTTTCTTTTCCGATGATTATCTAATGATTCATTCCTTTTTCCCCCAGTGACCTGAGCCACCAACTTGGTCACATTTTAAAAACATAATCATGTCTTTGGATTTACTATGCTGGATCAGTGTCACAGTTTTCTTTTCAAAATATTATTTTGGAACTCTTCATGCATATATAAACATATCTGAGCTGAGTGTGGTGGCTCACACCTGTAATCGCAGCACTTTGGAAGGTCAAGGCTAGAGGATCACCTGAGCCCACAGGTTCGAGACCAACCTGGACAACATGGCGAGCTCTTCTCTCTACAATAAATCAAAAAAATTAGCTGGGTGTGGTGGTGCACATAGTTTCAGCTACTTGGAAGGCTGAAGTGAAAGGATCGCCTGAACCCAGCAGATCGAGGCTGCGGTGGCCGCGAGCATGCCACTGCACTTCAGCCTGGGCAACAGAGTGAGACTCTGACTCAAAATAATAATAATAATAATAATAAACAAAAAACCCCCTCACATTTGAAAAATAACATTATATAAAATGCTTTCCTTTCCATCCCGTGATAAAAGGGACACATTATTTTAACTATTACCGTTTTATAGTTATAGCTATTTTAAATACCTGGCTCATAGTTTCTCTTAACCATTGGTACCCTCCATAGGGAGCCCCACCAAGTGTGGTCAAACCCTCCCTCTCAAAGTCTGGCACAAGAGAGGGAGGGGGCAGAAACACATGGTGGTTCCATTGGCTTGAAGGCTGGGCAGGCAGCAGCACATTAAAGGTACTCTGTGGTGGGCAGGATGCTGGGGAACATTTCTAGCCCAAGGTTGTGGGCAGAGAACTGACTGCAATAGGAGCCATTGCTGATGGCCCCAACATGGATCATTACACTGGCAGGTGAACGTGGGCGACAGGGGGAGAAACAGTCTTAGTTATTATCATATAAACCCTAAGTGTCCCTTGGTCTTCTTCTGTGTCCTCCAGAAGGTACATACATGATAGATGAATCACTGTCCTAAGATGTAATGCCACTTGAAACCCTTTAAGAACTTGCCTTATCTTTAAGCAATTTCTATGAAACAGAAGTATGAAGTGGGCTTGCAGTTTGGGCTTATGTTGCTCTTTCATAATCTTTTTTGCCCTTGGGGACAGTTCTCAAAAAATGTTTTATTTTTCAACTTTACTGAGCATAAGACTAGGAGTAAGCATATATATTATTGTGGTGGTATGTTTACAGGCAGTATAAAATAGTGGGTACCGAAATCATGCAGGTCTCATTCAATTCTTGATCTGACATTTCCTGGTCGCGTGACCTTAGGAAAGTCATCGTCTTCTCTGAGCCAGTTCCCTTCTTACAAGACAATTATAGGGTGTAAGGAAATATTGTCCTGAAAATAAGTATTAACATTGATTACTCACTGATATCATGTAAGTTGATCCTCACAATAGCCTTGTGAATTAGACACTGTTATTGTTGTTTTACTACCGAGAATACCGATGTCCAACACCAAACAACCAGTGAATGTTAGTGCCAGGCTTCGAACCCAGGCCAACTTTGGAACTTGCCCTCCTGTTTCCATGTTGTGCTCTGCCATGGCTCAAAACCCTTGGGACAGTTCCTGGCACTAGTAAATGTCCAATAAATGGTGGATGTAGCTGTGATTGTTGTTTTATCATGACTTTGGGGAACTTTGGCTATACTTTCTAGTCTATTCTGTATCTTTTGAGACACATAAATTTTATAATTTTTGCTGCAAAACTCTTGAATCTCCAGGATTAATTTCCTCCTTTCCTTCAACTGTTTAAATCACAGGTGCAGCTGCCAAAAGAACTGGAGTAAGAGGCAACGGAATCATCCAGAAGAAAAGGAAATTGAAATAATGACTCGAATCAGAGCATGGAGATTATTTCAGCAGTATTACTTCTGGATACAGGTGGCAGAACTAGAAACAATGCTAACATCTGATAGGGGTATTTGTAAAAGGCAGAATGTTTGGGCCACGACAAAATAGAAGAGGAAAGCAGAAGGAGATAAAATATCCAGAGGCCACATTTTCTACTTCCAGTCAATTTGAGTGACTTAGATGAAATTTAGTTGTGTTTCCAGAAGCTGAAGTTAAAATGTTTTGTGGGGAAACATTCACTTTACTTTTGCTTTCTTCTGGTAAATAACAATAAACAAGACGAAAGTGTTAACTATCATGATGCCATTTTTTATCCTTCCATTTCCTCTGTATTCATTACAAAGTATCTTAAAGGGAACAAATCATGTTTTACTCTAGGGAAATTCGAAGGGTGTATTGAACTTGTGGCCCTTCTGATGCCGTTTAAACAGAAGGATTGTTAATGAGCTCTTCTCTGGAGAATCAGTGATTTCCAGTTTCCTAGTCTGGCCAGCTTTCTCCCTCAACAACTCCATTGGTGTTTGGGGGTATTCTTCCAATAGGAGTATCTGTGAGGAGCAGAATACTTAAGCCACAGAATGTGGAGAAAAGGAAGTGTCACCAGAAAAAATAATGGGAAAAGTAAAACACACACACACACACACACACACACACACACACTTCCTGGCAGTAAGTTTCCATATACACAGGGACAATGACAGGCAGCATGCTGTTTTTGTAGGAAAAACATTTATAAATAATACAGTTATTGACAAGCATTCAGTTTTAGCTAATATATATGTTTAATCTGTGAATCTAATTTGATTGTGTTGCTCCCAAAAATCTTCTAGAGGAGAATTGCCTACCGGATTAAACCTAAATTCCTCATCCTATCCTTTGAGGTGCCCCAGTGCATGGCCCCAATTTACTAATCCAGTCTTATCTCCCACAAATCTTTAAGCCTTGATAAAATATCCTCATGCACCCGTGTGCTCTCATTAACCCCTTCATAGAACACACCGCCCAAGAGACTTTCTTCCTGCTCTCCGTTAGTGAAAGTCCTCCCCAATATTCAAAGCCCAGGTCTGGTCCTGTCTTCTCCACAAAAACCTTCGTGACAACTTCAACACATGTTCTTTCCTCCCTCCAAGTGCCTAGAGCCCTTAATTATCAGTTCCAATCACCAGGGGCATAGAATTTGGGATTTTGTAACATTAGAAGTAGCATGAGCCCTAAAAATGAGGAAATCAAGGCCAGGTGCTTTTTCTCTTTTTTACCTGAGTGAAAAATTGGCACTTGCCTTTTTTCTCCTTTGATATAATCAAAGGCGGTACATAACAAGCCAAACAGGCTAGGAGATAATGTATCGAACGAATGGGAACAAACTTAAAACAATAGTTATCTGGAAGCACAGGTCATGGAAAAGAAATATAGTGTTTCTATTTTTTAAAGATAATTCAATGTGTGCAAAGTATCTAAATTTAAAGTTACAGTTTTCAATCAAGTAACTAATTTTAGAATAGCCAAAGGCTGATCGCTTTGTTTTTTCCTCCTTGATTATGTCTATAAAACATCCTTGCATATAAAGCAGGCCAGTTAAGAAAGAGCTACAACAAACAAAACTTTATACGTCTTGCACATTCTACATCTAAGTGTCTAGCACATTTGCCATCCAGGAGGCTACACTGTAATAGGAAAACACACTCTAGACATAATGATAGGCTTGATGTAAATGAGAAGTTGAAGTTCTGGAAAGCCTTTGTGCATTTGCTTATACAGCCACAGTATTAACTAGTTCAGAAATTTCAAAAAGTGATAATAGCCCTGAAAGAGGATTTGTACAAAAGAAGATGATCCAATTTCGTAACTTACTGCCTTAATACACAGGTTTTATCAAGACAGGGGAAGCAATTCACATTATGCTTTTTCTAATCCATCACCCCCACCCTAAAGATCTTAGTTGAAGATTTTAACTTGTTTTTAAGAGGTAATATTAATTTACAACATTTTCTTGTTACATTTTTCTATTATCCTTCCAGGATTGACCACTGGCCATTAGTAACTACAATGAATCTCTTTTTACTTCAAGTTGTCGCTCTCCAAATCTCTTGCATTTAGTTAGCAGGATTCACTTTAGAAAATAGAAGGTGATAAAATGTATATAAAACCTGTGTCAGGTTTAAAGAGAGGATCCCAGTGGAATTCAATTTTATTCTGGCTGCAAATTAATAAAGTATTAAACAGTGTTTGACACAGCTAAGAGTGTTTGTTGTATAGTATGTCCTCATGGTTTATAGGGTTGTCTCAGACATGTAACACAGACATGCATTAAATAAAATCTCACCCCCAAAAAACCCCTTCAATAAATTTTATTCTTCATATTTGGGTAAGGGTACACATTCTAGACCTGAGTACACATTCTAGTCTGTGAAGTCATGGGGAGATGAGTGAGCTAAAGATGAAGGCTATAGGTTGGCTGAGAAATTAAAATACAAGAAAAATCAGGAACAGCATATGTGTTGCCTCTTATTCTAGGACATACAGAGAGTTCCTTGAGTATGGACCGCTCTAATTGTCTTCACAATTCAATGTTGGGAAAGCATAAATGTTTTCTGCTTCATCTGTGAAATCACTCAATTGGCAAGCAAAACATTTTTTATAACCTATTTCTAAAAACATGTGAAATAAAATAATGAAAATAACCGAATATATATACTCATGCTATCTTAATTCTAATGTCTAACTATAAAAGCATATGGTTGGAACAATTACTATCTAAAATTTTTATGAACTGCCGAAGCCGGTAATCATTTTCATTTGTTAAAGTCTTTTGCTTGGTCATCTAAAGATACTTTTCAGGTCTCAAATGATCAGCTATCACTGTCCTGTGTGTTCCTCTAAGGAAATAATAAAATGCACATTCATTTCCTTCTTTCTAAATGTTCCAGTTAAAAACTAAACGATAAAAAAAATTGGTAAACATTAGCTTGGACTTTTTTTTTCATTATAACATAAGATGTGTAATATAAACAGAACTCAACTTTTTTTTTTTTTGTCTGTTTTTCAACAAGTCTGTTAATACAGGTTACATAGCTGTAACCTTAAGAAAATGACATTAAGATTGCAACAAAGACCTGCTGGTGAACACACATTACTAGCATTTCAAAAATTTACAAAAATTTAACAAAATATTCTAAACAGCTATCTTTTTATTTGTAAACAAAATAGAAACAACTGGTTTATCCAGTTTCCACTGCACATCAAATAGGCGGCAAATTGATAGAGATCATCTTTGATTTTAAAAGAAAAATAATAAAAACTAAACTAATGTATATCCCACACATAACAATTCTATGAGATATTTTTGGAGGGGGGATCCTGGAAGGGATTAGAAACAGGCTAACGAATATCATCTACTTTAACAGCCTTTTCATTTACTCATGTTGCCTTGATACTTTACGATGACTTTTTCCTTACAAGATAACAGTATTGTTGTTGTAAAACCCATAATTCTTTAATTTTCTTTTATTCCCCTAAAGAAATAAATGTGATCCATTTCCCATTAAGTTTCATAAACACACGTGAAATCTTCAGACACACTAGGATGGTGGTTTTCTTTCAGGTTCTGAGGCCTTGTCTCTGGAACATCAGAGATCGTAATAGTTTGGCCTATACATGCATGCTGCCATAGATAGTTGGGTGGTACGTGCACCTCTTATTTCAAAAACACAAGCAGAAAGTAGGTCTGGACAAGAGCAAATTGCAACTCAATTTCTGCTGCAACCCTATCACCAGACAACCTATGTCTATTCCTTCACTTTGCTGATATAGTCAGTGAATTTGTTGATGTTTTCTTCCTGCTGTTCTAGGGCATCCAGGACAATGCCCATTGGTGTCCTCTTCAAACCTATTCCCTCCATTTTATTCTCCAGCTTGTTCTTGAGGTTCCGAAGTCTCAACGATGCATGGATAAACATCACTACAGAGAAGTGACACATCAAAGCAAAGAAGTTAGCACCAAAGCAAAAATTTCCTTTTCCACATCAATATTACACTCCCTCTCTTCACATTTTTAGCAAGCAGTCTCAGTTAGCTATAGTCCAATCTGTTTCTTTAATTAATCCAAGCCTTCAAATGAATCCTTGGACTTTGTATAAAGCTCTTCATCAAGTCATATATAGCTTTCTTCATGTGTGAAAGAGCATGTTGGATCCAGCAGCTGGGACCATAATCTGGCAGCCACATTCTTTCCTTCACATAGTGACATCATCATCCTGCAGAGGCTATTTAAATGCCCTGAGATTCAAAGTAAATTGGTGTGATTCCAACCTACTAGAAATCAACTTACCCAAGTTTTTCCAGAAAGGAACTCTAACTCAATTCAGGGACTATCTGTATTTAGTTCCCTGCAGGAGGCATGTGGGTGAAATATAATTTTTTTTTTTTTTGAGTTGGAGTCTCACTCTGTCTCCCAGACTGGAGTGCAGTGGCTGCTCCCAGCCACCACAGCCTCGACCTGCTGGGCTCTAGTGATCCTTCCGCCTCAGCCTTCCGAGTAGCTGGAACTACAGGTGCGCGCTACCATGCCCGGCTAATTTTTTTATTTATTGCCTGAGTCTCAAACCCGCAGACTCAGGCAATCCACTCACCTCAGCCTCCCAAGGCGCAGGATTACAGGCTGAGCCACCGAGCCCGGCTAATTTTTTTTTTTTTTTAAAGTCCGAGTTGGAGGAGTGGCACACCTCATCAACAAAGGTACCTGCATAATGGACATTTGTATGCCTAACCCTGAATGTACCCCATATCTTCAAAATAAAAAATATTAAAAAATAAATAAAAATAAAGTCAGAGTCTTAATCACTCAGGCTGGAGTGCAGTAACATGATCACGGCTCACTGCAGCCTTGATCTCCTGGGGTCAAGTGATCCTTCAGCCTCAGTCTCCTGAGTAGATGGGACTCCAGGCACATGTTACCATGCCCAGCTCATTTATTATTTATTTATTTATTCATTTATTCATTCATTTGTTTGTTTATTTATTTATTTTGTAGAGATAAGGTCTTACTAGGTTGGCCAGTCTGGTTTCAAACTCCTGGGCTCAAACAATTCTCCCAAAATGCTGTGATTATAGGCGTGAGCCACTATCCCTGGCCTAAAGTCTACTTTTAAAGTGCTTCCTAGAGGCTGCACTCCAACCTGAGCGACAGAGTGAGGCTCCAACTCAAAAAAAAAAAAAAGAACAGGAAACAGATTCCCTGTCCCCACTACTAGACCTCCTGAACTAGAACCTTAAAGAGACAGGCTTGGGAATCTGTATTTTCAACAGTCACCCCACATGATCCACACCAGTGATTTTTCAACTTCTACGTACATCCAAATCATCTGCAGAGGCTGTTAAATAGGCAAAGTTCTGATCTCTACCACCTAAAGTTCAGACTGTTAAAACTGAGGTAGGGTTCCAGAAACTATCATTTTAGTAATCACTCTGGAGATTCCAATGTAGAAAGATCTGGGACCCTCATTTTGAAAAACACTGATGTAGAGTCTATCTGGAAGATCCCAATCTAGACTGGCCATCAGAAACATTGGAGGAAATTTCTTTCTTTCTTTCTTTCTTTTTTTAGTTGGAGTCTCACTCTGTCACCCAGGTTGAAGTGCAGTGGCACACTCACAACCACTCAAGCGTCGACCTGCTGAGCTCTGGCGATCCTTCTACCTCAGCTTTCCAAGTAGCCAGAACTACAGGCACACGCTAACACAGTCAGCTAATTTGTGATTTATTATAGAGATGAGGTCTCGCCAAGTTGCCTGGGGCTGGTCTTGAACTCGCAGGCTCAGGCATTCCACTCACCTTGGCCTCCCAAAGTGCTGGGATTACAGGCTGAGCCACTGAGCCTGGCCTGGAGGAGCTTTCTAAAAATACAGGTTCTCTGGGCAATACTGTTGACCCACAGAATCAAGATGTGGCTGGGAGATTTATATTCTTAAAAAGAATCCCAGTTAGGTGCAGTGGGTCACACCTCTAATCCTAGCACCCTGAAAGGCTGAAGCAAGAGGATTGCCTGAGCCCAGGAGTTCAAGACCAGCCTGGGCAACATGATGAGACCTCATCTCTACAATAAATCAAAAAATTAGCCAGGTGTGGTGGTACACACCTGTAATCCCAGCTACTTGGAAGGCTGAGGCAGAAGAATTACCTGAGCCCAGCAAGTCAAAGCCATGAGTGTGCCACTGCACTCTAGCCTGGGCAACAGAGTGAAACTTGGACTCAAAAAAAAAGAAGCATCCTGGATGATTCTTACGATCAGCAAAATTTGGGAGTCCTTTATCTTTTCTAATTTCCTTATTTTAGAGGTAGTAAACTACAGCCTATATAGGATGACTGGTCCAAATCACATGCTGGTTTCCAGTAAGTCTAGGAATAGAAATCAGGACTTTTGACTGTCTATGATACATTTTATTACACTAGCCTGTCTTGAGCACTGATATGGAAAGGCATTGAAGTTAACAAGCTGTATGCCTAAACAGAATCATTGAAATGCTAAGCCTCTCACACGTACAGAAAACCTGAAGAAAACTTCAAAAAGTCTGAATTCATTGATTCAAATATTTTATCCAACAAGATGTGGTATTGATCCACAAATATTCTGGGCTTAATCTCACAAAACCCCAAACAAGCAAATGATTTTATTTAATGGAATATCTACACATGAGAAACATCTTAAAAGTTAAAGTGATGTTCCTGTCATTTAAAACACTAGAATTTTAGTCAGTTTTCTGCTGGTGAGATTGGGATTTTATCTCTTTTCTATTTCAGGCTTTAAAGTTAGAGGTCTTTGTAAAAAATGCATGTAAAATTTAAAAAAAAAAGGATTCTCTTCACTTCAGAATCTGAGTACTTAGTATCTATATTCTGGGCAAATTATTCCTATAAACTTACTAAACTTTTGACATTAATTATCAAATTCTGAGTAAGTAGAAAGTAAATAGTTTAGTTCCAAATGATAAATACATTCACTGCAGTGTCAGGACAAATGAATGGCACTTAGATTGAGATCATGCTGGGTGCAGTGGGTCATGCCTGTAATCCCAACACTTTGGGAGGCAGAGGCAAGAGGACTGCCTGAGCCCAGAGGTTTGAGACTAGTCTAGGCAACATGGCGAGACCTCGTCTCTACAATAAATCAAAAAAATTAGCCAGGCATGGTGGCGCATGCCTGTAGCTCCAGCTTCCTGGAAGGCTGCGGCGGAAGCATTGCCTGAGCCCAATAGGTCGAGGCTGTGGTGGCCGTGAGAGTGCCACTGAACTCCAGCCTAGGCAACAGTGAGACTCTGACTCAAAAAAAAAAAACAAAAAAAAAGATTGAAATCAGACTATAGTATCAGACAGTGTGGAGTCCAGTACAGGCTACGGCACACACATTCCCACTGTATGACATGGGATTTGTCTTTGTCTTATTTACTTTTGTGTCCACATAAGAATGTCTGACACATAGCAGGTGCCCAATATATATCTGTGGAATTTGTGAACTATTAGGCTTTGACCTGCAGCTTTAGAAAATTCTGACACTCCGATAGAAAGGCCAACACACATAAGAAACAAGTTATATACTTCCTATAGGGCAACTTGCTCCTACTTTTCTTTTAATCATGTAAGAAAAAGAAAACTCAAGTTCACTTACGCAGCAAAGGAAAAGTGATGCCAAACACAAAGACCATGACTCCCCCAAACATGGATATCAGGAAATAGCTAGCCAACATGACCACCATAACAAACGCTGTAGGGTATTGCTTCTTCATTCGGCGAAGAATGTCTTTGTTGTGGGCTGCCCACACAAACCCTGTGAACACCAGCACTACCACAATTCCTCCAAGGATCATGTTGAAGGGGCTCAGAAACCTGGAACATGACAAAAACAAAAGGGAGGAGAGGAGACTAGTCAGTAATAGGAGTAGGAAAAAGAGCGAGAGGAGCAAAAACGATTGAGTACTTACTAAGCACTTTATCTACATTGTCTCATTTAATCCTCATAACCTTATGAAGGAGACACTATTAATTCATTTCTCAACTGAAGAAACTCAGGTACAGAGGTTAGAAATTTGGTGGAGCTGAAATCACATCCAGGCAATTTGACTCCCACCAAACTAGCAGTTCATCTCATTAGAGGTCGGGAATTTTGAAGACTAACACTTCTTTTGGAAGGGTTGTGTTTAGCTTCCATACATGCAGGGCTCTAGTACCCAGTAGGCTGTACTTACTTAGCTTTAAGGGCTTATTTAAATCCTCATAGAAGCTGCCATGACACAGAGTAGAGACCACACAATGGCATCCACAGACCAGATCCAGTTTATAGTCACATTTTTGTTTGGCCTGTATAGTGTTTCAAAAAACTTTTACTTGAATCTTTGTGTGTTAAAAAAAATTCCATAAAATTTTAAAAACGGGATTCCTTGTTATCCCAGAACAAGAAAAATCTAACAACACCGAGCCCACTCTCCATCTGTCAACAACTGGTTGGATTGCCTTCTCACTTAGAATATTCTCCATTTAGCCCCAGTCTTTACCACTCTCTATTGCATCTTTGACACAGAGGCCCAAAGTGAGCTGCTATTAATCATTATTTTTCTAATAGCTGGGCTGATTGCTCTCTTTTATAACCTGTCCGCCCCATGGAAGCATTTGAGCTTATGACTCCTGGCATAGAGAGTCCACTATAAATCTTTGTAAAGACCTGATGTATTATGAAGAGATAGGTTATCAACAGAAATATTTAAGCATATAGTTGCAGATCCAGTCTTGTATGAGCCAAAGGCCTTTATTATGTGATAGGAATTACACTACTAATGATAATGGGGGAAACACATTATGAAGAAGAAATTTAGACCAAGTATTTCATAAATGAGAAGAACTGGGCATTACAGTCCCCTACGCCAATCCAATGTGTATATAAAATCCTTAAGAAGACACTCATAGTGGGCAAGCACGAGTTACTAGCTTTTTACCCTAGAAGCTAATGAGGATTTTACTTGAGAAGAACAAAGGTCAGTGTGTTTTCATCATGTTCCGAGTAGTCATATGACTGACTTGAAATGAGGGCTAGGGGAGGACAGGATAAAACAAGATGATGCCAGGAGCTTACTTGAAGGATTGACCTTGTATTCAGGATAGCCATGACTCTTTTTCAAAATCTCTTTACATTTTAGCTCTGATTCTGCCTACTGAAACACAAAAGCTATTTTGAACAGTTTAAAATGAAGAGTGATATCACCTTACTGGGTGATATCAAGGGATATAATCAATGTCAAACTGCTCTGAAAAGTTAAAAATTTCTACTAAAATACATGAAATTAAAGATTAGAAGAGGAGTAGTACATAATTTAAAACTAAAACCTGCAAAAATAAGTTGCTTATTTCATTCAAAACTTTGCAAATTCTTATGCTCTTCAAGCCAATAAATTCCCTCCTCAGAATACAGTCTCAGGAAATAAAGATGCAAAGATTAAGTTGTAACAGTAATCATATTAGTGGTATTTATGATTAAAAACTTTGAGAGGCCGGGCTCAGTGGCTCAGCCTATAATCCCAGGACTTTGGGAGGCTGAGGCAAGTGGATTGTCTGAGTCCGCGGGTTCGAGACCAGCCTGGGGTCACTTGGCGAGACATTGTCTTTACAATTAAAAAAAAAATTAGCTGGGTGTGGCAGCATGTGTCTGTAGTTCTGGCTACTTGGAAGGCTAAGACAGAAGGACCGCTTGAGTCCAGAAGGTCGATGCTGGGGTGGCTGTGAGCATGCCATGGCACTCCAGCCTGGGTGACAGAGTGAGACTCCAACTCAAAAAAAAAAAAAAACCACCAAAAGTTTTAGAAACAACCTATATAGTCAACAATTTACTAGAATATGGCATGTACAGCTATTTTTAAAGGTCAAAGTATACTTAATAACATATTATTACATATTATATACTGATATATAACATATATTAGTAATATATCAAGTGGGTAAAAGCAACTATAATACATTAATACATTCTGTGTTAGATGGATTTATCATATATGTTTGATATCTCAGAAGTAGAAATTTCTATCATTAATATATTATTTTGTGATCAGATATAAAAGGAAAATCTCAAAGCAGCTGCTCTCTAATCTATAACCCAGGCTTGGCATAGACCAACTACAACAGTCCATCTCTACTTGTGCTGTCTCTCCAATAACGTTAATGGAATTTCAATCCATGAGCCATGGTGCAGCTGTTCCTTCTCCAAACCAAACCCTGGTTCCTTGCTCATTCTCCAGATCGTCTTGTGGCCAGTCTGCCCACTCTATTCCTCCAGGCTCTCTTTCCCTACACCCAACACACGTGCTATTCTGTCTACCCTCCCTCCCTCTCCGTTCTATACTGTCTGGGTCTGCTTGGAATCTCTGTACTTTGCTTTCTTTCTTTGAAATTTTATCTGGATTATGCCCTACCTCCTGATATAATCCAGAATTGGTCTGGGAAAGATAAAACTTTCCTTATAGGCCTGAGGAAGAGAAGACTATAATGAGGCAAAAGCAAAATCCTCTTTAGCAGGTAGGAGGGAGACTGAGTGAAGAGAACCAGAAACTTACAGATTAATAAATCTCGGTTGGGTGTGGTGGCTCACACTTGCAATCCCAGCACTTAGGGAGGCTGAGACAAGAGGATTGCCTGAGCCCAGGAGTTCAAGACCAGCCTGGGCAACACGAGGAGATCTCGTCTCTACAATAAATAAAAAAATTAGCCAGGTGTGGTAGCACATGCATATAGTTCCAGCTACTTGGAAGACTAAGGCAGAAGGACTGCCTGAACCCAGCAGGTCAGGGCTGCAGTGATTGTGCCATTGCCCTTCAACCTGGGTAGCAGAGTGAGACTCTGACTCAAATAAATAAAAATAAATGAATAAATAAATAAATCAGTCTCATTCCTAGTACCAAAAAGATCAAGAGAAATTATACCAAAAGACTACAGTAGTTACAGTGGGTAGTGGATCCGGGGAGTTTATTTCCATTTGCTTACTTCTATTTTCATATTTTTCCAATGGCCATGTATTACTTGAATAATGAAAAACTGGTATTTAAAAATGAAATTTGGGGAAAAGTGTCTGAAAGAAACAAGCCCTTTTACAAAGCCTTGACTTTGAACTATAACCTAAACCAAATATTTCTGAACTGTAGAGAAAAACAAAGATCAAAACACAAAGAACTAGAATGGAGGGTTAATGTTTAGGAAATTCATTTGCATAAACTACAAATAGGAGAGAGTCAGTTGGCAGCAAAGGATCAAAGGGCTCCTACTCAATTCTTTCTAGAATACTGATTAAAATAATAATTCATGAAGTGAAACATATAATAAAATTCATGTCAAGCTGTTTCTGTTTTCCTCCGGTCAAGTAAAATAGACATCTAGGTTGAATGTCTAAATAAAGCCCAGGACAAAGAACAATGAGAAATCCAGGCCTGACTCAAGCAATTCCAAATGTGCTTTTCACCTGTTCCTGTTGCTCATGTTCAAGGGAAAAGAACAGGGCAAGGCGTCCTATAGAACTGGTTTTAGCTTACAACCCGCCCAACCACAATCTATAATTAGAAAGCAACCAAGTTTCCAGGCTTGGAAATAACTAACAAAGTTACTCGGAGCAGAAATGATTTTCTTCCACATTCTGATTACAAGTAATTCCACTCTGAGAAATGATAAAACGCATACCATTCCAATTTCCTGCACCTATCTGCACTTGGAGCAAAATCACACATACAGACATACAGACAGACACACACACACACACTCCAGAGATTCATTTCATTTTCCAGTGAGTGCAGGAGTTCGGGAACCAGTCTTGTCTGAGACACTTTTAGTAACAGTTGTGCTGTTAGTCACACCAGTCACGATAAACTCCAAGAACCGTTAAGGACAAAACTTTCCATATTAAATATGCCACCCATTTTTCACATGGACAGCTGCCACTGGTCTCTGTTGGGTGGAGTTTCATTTACTGGTAGTCCTTGAGTAAGAAAGAGGGAGGGAGGGAAAGAAGGAAGGAAGATGATAGAGGGAAGGGAAAAGGAGAGGGAAAGAGAGAAAAGGAGAGACAGAACTTGTGATTTTCTATTACATGGATATAGGTAGATGTAGGCTCTAGTTTTACAACTAGATACACTAAATATGTTTATTTTTATTGTGAGATAAAAATATACACATAAACTATCTCATTCCAATGAATAATTAATAAATTCTTTCCTGTAATAGTTAAATATTCTAGTGCAGACATTTATGGTTGTAAAAAGGTTTAGAATCTCATCACAGAATTTTTGTAGCAGTAGTCAAAGATGAATTGGTCCAGTTCCATGATTAAGATGAATAAACTGAGGCCCAGAGAAGTGAAGAAACAAGGAATCCAGGGGAGAAACCAGAAACCAAGGGTGCCAGTTGTGCCAGTGTTTCACAATATAACCCATTCTGCATTGTTAACCAATGTCAGACATTCTCCCACCATTCTACGTAACCCTATTTTTCCAGTTGAAGTAAGCAGCTAAGGGTCATCTGGGGAAGTCCCTCAACACTCTAATTCCTTTCTGAAGGAAGGTGACTATTTACGAGTGTGGACACATGTGCTAAACTTGCCAACGTGACTCAGTTAGCTATGTCCATAGTTTTACCACAAGTTGCTGAAGGGGAAAAAACCTTGGCCAATCATAGAATTTTAGAGCAGGGAGGAATTTTGATGATCCATATGATTTTACACACAGGTTAAGGAAGAGCCAAGTCAATAAATGTGTCCAAGGCTACCAGCTGCAAAGTTGACAATACGAGTTTGCCATAACAGAAATCCTCATATCAACTAAAAGGAAAATTTGGTAACTCCTGTCATGCTTCAATGCCAA